ATTTACAGTTTGGCTAATTGTGACTGGGCTCGGCGTGAGAGCAAGACGTATGTTAGGGTATCTGCAAATAGTTGGGTTTGAGTAATTGCGAAAGCATTTGGAAGGTCATTTATGTATAGAGAGAAAGAGAGAGGGCCAAGGGACACTTCCTGTGGGACACAAACTGTAATTGGTTGCGCAGAAGAGTTTGCCACATTTGGTACAATATTGCTCTGTTGCTGTGGTATGATTGAGGTAATTTGAGGAAGTGCCCTCTTATCATAGTGTGACAATTTTAAGTGGAGCAATGTCCATGGGGTTCCCAACTGTATCACAAAAGGCTTTAGTAAGTCAATGAAGATCCCCAGTGGGACTTCTTTTTTCTCTATTGCAGTGTATATATGTTCTAGCATGTGTATAATAGCATCATTAGTTTTTTTATTAGGCCTGAAATCCAAATTGGCAGGGGTTTGAGTTTGTTCTGGGAGATATGGTAGGAGTAGATGGTTTATGAATTAGTTTTTCAAAGATTTTGAGAGAGGGTGGTGTGAGTGTAACGTTGGGATATTGGCCTTTAGTTATTCAACTCTGTTTGGGGCTCCTCCTTTTGGATCGGGGTGACCCTTGCTATTTTGAGTACTGAGGCGAAGGTGGAGGATTCAATGGATTTGTTATGAGTGCTTGCAATGTATTGGGATAGCACTTGTGACACTTTTTTATATAATAAAGGGTCGGTAAGGTACTTAAATCCTCCTGCCCTTGTTTTTTAGTCATGATAATAAGGGAGACTTCGTATGGGTTAGTCGGAGCTAGGAACTGTGTGTTCGTTGGTAGTTGCCGGTGAGGTAGTTATTTGGTGGGGTATTGGAGTTGTGATTATATGGGCAAGAGTTTTGTCTATAGTGGGAGAGAAAAATCATTGAGTTGCTGTTTGCTGTTTCTGTTGGTGCGGAAGTTGGGGTTCAATCTGATTTTTGCTAATTTTTATTTTCATATTTCGTGATACTCTTTTTCTCCTGTTCCCAGAATTAAGATAGTGTTTTCCAGGTCTTTTTTTATATCACCTCGTAACGTTGGCTAATCTGTTCTCATAATTACAATTTTTTTGCCCTTCTTATCAGGCTGGTTTAGGATTGACGAGTAAAGTTTTTGTTTTGACGTTATGGTTATAGTGACCCATTCAAGTATGTGTTTCTTATAGGTGATTTGTATTTAATGGATTTGAGATGCTGGGTGTCTAGCCAGGGACTGTTCAGTCTCTTTGCTGTCATAGTTTGAGTTTTTTTTTAGGGCAGTGCTCTGTTATTAGACGGTATTGGGTTCTTTTTTAGAAAATTATTATTACATTCCGTCAATATCTGTATAGTTTTCTAGCTCTGTGTGCAATCTCTGTTTGCTAATGCTGTTGCGACGTTAGTTAATTAATGGCTGCCTCATTGTGGGAAGTCTGAAGGTGAATTTAGCTAGTGTCTTGGGTAGTTTACCCAAGAGTTGTTATGAGGAAAGTAGGGGTAGTGGTCTGTGGTAATTATCTGTAATTATGCCTGATTTTATAGGGGATATGGTGTTGGTCAGATGTGGTAAAGTAGGATAACACTATAGCTCCTGTAACTCTTGTAGGTTTTGTCTATGTTGGTTGTAACATTACAAGTTACTCATTGTGTTTGTGAATTCAGTAACGTGTGGGTCCTGGTTCTTGCAGGAGATTTATATTGATGTCACCTGAGAGTAGTAAGTGATTCTTTGTTCATGCGTGCATCATTATCATACTTTCCTAGATTTTGGACTATATTGGCTAATGTTGTCTTGGAACTCTGTAGATGTTTATCAATTGTGAGAGGTTTTTGGTAGGTATTTGGATTTGAATTAGTATTATATATTCCAATGTTCATCCTTGTGCAAGATTAGTGATACATTCTAGTTGGGTCTGGTAGTATTTGGCTGTGCCACCCCTTGGTTGTCTGGCCTACAGTTGTGTATGGCAGTGTACCAGGAATGGATAGGGTCATCTGCACTATTCAGGCTTTAGCCAGTTTCAGTTAGTGGAATGATGGACATATTGGCATGTTAAGGAATTTAGTTAATGCTATGAGGTCATCGTTATGCTTGCTTAATGATCTGATATTGTAGTTAAGATAGTTATTGTTGTTTGTTGGCACTGAGAAGTTGCCTTTGATTGTTCTGCAGTGTAGTAATTAAAGAACTGTTTTGATTCATTTAAGTCATTAAATAAGAGGGTTGGTATCAGGATCAATGCTTGTTGTATTCAGAAGATATGTAGTGAATCATAGTTAGAATTAAGTATAAACAAAGTAACTAAAAAAAATCAAAAAATCAAAACAAAAAAAAAACAAAAAAAACAGTTTAAGCTAAAAAAATAGACTGAAGTAATTTAACAAATGTAAAATAATGAGCTAAGGGCACTATACAAATAAAGTGATGATTCATATAATAGTGCTTGGGAATATGATAGTAGGTAGTACTATAAAGGTAATTTTTTAAAGGTATTAATTTATAGTTTAAAAATTATAATAAAAAGGACTAATATAGGTTGTGAATAATGAGCTTAGGAATATAATGGCAAGATTGTGAGTTATTTCTACTTTAGCACCTGAGAATAGCACCTTGATTATTTAACAGTTGTGGGATATATAACTAGGATAGTTATATAAAGCTAAATTAAAGGAGGAAAATATAAAGGACTATAATTAAGGAATGGTAAGCAAAGTTAAATGGATCAGATGGTATGAATTAATTATAATATAACTTATAATATAAAAATACAATTTGAAATGGTACGTGCAATTGCACTAGAGTCTGGTATGGGTTGTTGACAAGTTCAAGGTTTATACACTATAGATTTAAATTGAACAAAATAAAATTCACAATTAAAGTACAAAAGAATAATTAGTAAAAAAATCACATGGTAAGTCTTGGTTATAATATGATAGTAAGGATGGTAGGACAGGTACCAGGTCACAGGTACAAAAAGGATATACAAGGTTCGGGGATTTTGAATTAAAAACTTGCAAAATTTGGCAACAAAATGTTATGGGAAGTTTAAATAACTGTTTTAATGTACAAAAGTAAAATGACTGTAGTTATATGGTGTTTAATAAATTTTAGTAAAGTAATTAATTGATTACAAACAAAGTGAAATAGTAATGTTTTTTTCATTCAATATTGCACTGGTAGGTATACTTGAGGTTATATGGCAGTACAAGGTAATTAAGAGTAATCTAGGATAGTATATGTCGTGGTATAAAAAAGGTTAAAGGTAATTATCAAGTAATGGTTATTAAATGTCAAAAAAAATGTTAAGAGTATATTTAAATTTTAAGTAAAAATGATATTATTAAATTTTAGTTATGTAATATCAATTGTAGTATTTAAAAAAAAATTTGAGGTTAGTAATTTGGACAGAGAAAAGTATCAATTCAGCTAATGTTCAAGCGACAATAGTAAATAAGATAATCACATAAGGTGGATTATTGCTTACTAGTAAAATCACAAAATGTGTAGTTGAATTTAAATACTAAGAGATTTGTACAAGAAAATTTGAACAATAATGGAGCAACAAATACACTTCACTACGTTAGAACTTTTAAGTTGGACATTGTTTAGTTATTCTCTGTAAGATTAGTATCCATGAGAAATCGTTGATAGATCATTCTCGTTCGGTTGTGTAAAGTTGACCTACATTTGTTTTCCTAACTAGAATTTTCCAATCTCGTGTGAAGCATGGGTGATTGGTCAGTTTTCCCGCTTAAGTTTTCTGATCTCTATAAGGAGGTTTCTGATGTTTTTTGGTAAGACAACTCGTTATGTTATACCTCTTTCTTTACTTTAATAGATGCAATAATTAAGTCTTTTTTCCCATCATGTGAGTTGAATTATGCATAACACTTTTTCTACCATGGGGATCCTAGTACATTGGCTTCTTTTATTTCAGACTCTGGTACAAAAACACTTGTTTGGTCCTTTTGATCTGCAGAGTAATTTTTTTACTGTGTTGTTGGTTCATATCACTGGGAAAAGTGGACTGTTACTATTACTGCGTCGATAGTTTTCTTGCTCGTTTTAGCTCTTGGAGAAGCAAAGTAGTCACTGCTGAACTGGTTATCTAAGTTGGTTTCCTTTGTTTTACTGCTTCTTCAAACTTTGTATTAAGAGATATCATTTGTTGGGTTATGGCTGTCCTATGACTGTTTGGATGGTCTTGTCAAGTTAGTCATTCCAGGTGTTGATAACTTTTGTTCAAGATGAGGATTTTGTTCTAGAGTTGTGTCATCCTGGAGTCTTGTTTTGTTAGCGTTCTCTCGAAGATGTCATATTTTCAAATTACTAAGTTGGAGATGCATGGACTTTTAGGGTATCTGGATTCGTTGGTTCATACCTGAGAGAACTACTAGGTAGGGTGAAATCCGGGGAAGAGAGGGGGGATGGGCTGGTCAGCAGCCATGTTTGTTGTGATGTTGTGGTGTCGCTTGAGTGGTGGTGTGTGGGGTGGTTGCGGGCGGCCGTCTCCTGGCTACACTGTTGAATAGTTGATTTTTCGGTTGTTTTCTTGCTGGCTTGTGGTGATTCCTCCTTAGATGGCGCCGAATAATACTACAGGAATTGTTGTTGTTAAGAAGAAGTTGTAGTATACAAGCTTAGGGTTACGTTGTTCGGCTGGCAGCGTGGTGTTGCTTTCGGTTTGTGTGCAGTCTTCCTTTGATCTCTCTTTTTTTCGATTTGTAGGTTTCACTGTTGGTAATCTTTTGTCATTCTGGGGCTACGTTGGGTTTTAGTGCAGTTTTGCTTGTAACTAGGTCAATCATTGGAGCTTTGGTAGCTCTGGTAGTTGGAGAAAAATACGGAGCTTGGAAGTCGCTGCTGCCGCTGCCGCTGCCGCTGCCGCTGGTATGACCTTTACACCAAGTCACACTATGTTCCAATATGTACAACACATAAATAAGAAAGTAATTTTACAATTAATAATTAAATTAACACTTTAGCGTTCATTCCTATGGTTAGACTCTACCAAGCTCTGCTGTTGCTGACTTCTTATCAGAAACACTAGAGTCTGTAGCCTTGCCTTTGGCTTGGTTTCTGAGCTGATCTATCAACTTGAGGGAGAGGGACCTGCCTGTGCCTTCATAGCCTGACACGGTAGATGACAAGAACACCAGGTATGGGCCCAGAAGCTTGCGAACAAGTGGCAGGGGAATAGCTGCAGCTTCATCAATTACTACAAGCTCAGCTTGACCCAGAGTGTTGCTCTCGTTAGGTGTAATATACTGCAAGAAAAATTAATATTTTTATTCTATTTTACTTGCTGTTAATAATATTCATATAAGACATACCCAAGAAATGGACACTATAACAAGTATTTAATATTCCACACACTTTTTTTAAAAAAATTATTGTATTACTAGGCTTATTGTAACACCTTGTGTTAACTTAAACCCTTTCAGGTCAGAGGCAAATTTCTGTGTCAGAATTTTCAAAAAAATAATTTTGTTATTTTTTCTTGAAATGGTAGAGAATCTTTTTCTGAAGGTAATAAAACAAAAGGTACAAAATTTGATGGAAAACTGATGAAATTATGCTCTTGCGAATTTTAATGTCTCAGCGATATTTATGCATCGGCGATTTTGCCAAATTTGATTCCCATTTTAAGCAATTACGTCATTTCGGTCAACAATATTCTTAGCTTTTCACTAGTATTACTTCTATTCTATTGATTGAGCACAAGAAATTGCCAACTCACCTGTTTCAACTACAAAATAAAGTGATCAGAAATTGGTAATTTAATGTAAAGTTCAAAAAATTCAAATTTCAAAACAGTGGTCCAGAAAAAAAGTGCAGGACATCCCTGGCACTAAACTAACATTTCCTCTATTCATTACTTACATTTTCAGGCTTTATAAGTGAATCCCATTTTGATTTTTTATTCACATAATGAATTTTTATTCAAACCAAAAAATAGAAGATTTACTGTTATGCAATATTGAAATAATTGTATAAATAATATCACCACATTTGTGAATGTATATTAGACCCACCAGCTGCCATGTATTAGATGTGTGATGTTATTTGTTTACTCCTGAACATCAGCAAAAATTTAACATTTCCGCTACTTTGAGCTCAGTTTCAAGCAATTTTCATACTAAAACCAATCAAAATCATCTCTATTTCTGTAATGTATTTTCCATTTTATCAAATGAGACCAAGAAATCGCAAATACAACTATAAAAAACATATGAAAAAACACTGCAAAGTTGCTGTTTTAATAAAAAATTACAGTCTCAGTTTTTTTCTCTCATTATGCACTGTGTGCTGCAGGGTTTGTTTTATGTGGTGCACACATACCACATAGATATATTCTCTCATATCTAGGCCCAAATTTACCGCTCACAGCTTTTCTGAGTGAGCTGAGCTCATGATGTACTACTACGGCACTGACCCTGGCTTCAAAGCCGTAGAACTACGGCACGGGCCCTTAAAAGGTTAAGTGCGTTCAAGGAAATATGATGTGACATTAGATGTGTTTCATGAGGAAATGCACCAATCATTGCTCCACTTGGAATATATAATATAAACTTGTAAAATATGTAATTCTTTTTTAATCTATTAATTTATTTTTTGGTCATCTAACACTATGTACAATGAATACTTATGTTACAACTGTTTCAAGGTGTAATACTCATCAAAACATGGAAATAAGTCATACTGCTTAGCTTTACTGGGTTATGCTGGTTTAAATCTACAGTGTGCTTTACTGATAAATTCCACTGTTAGTATCATGAAACTGTAATAAATTTGAAATAAGTCATCTTTATGATACTTCCTCAGCCTGTTTGGTGGAAGGGAAGCTGGTGGTGGAACAACAGCTCTTGGTTTCATTGTATACGTATGCTAGTTAGGTACAGTAGTACATCAGAAACATAGTCAACACCCATGTGGTTAACCATGATACACTGTGAGAACCCTCCTGGACTTAGGTTTTTTCGAAAGCATGAAGACACTGAAGAAGACACAAAGAATTGTGCTGAGGTCAAAAATATTGGTAGGTGGTATGTTCGAAGATATAAAAAATTGTATATATTAGTACTTGTGGAGAAAATTCTCCAGTAAAGGGGGTATCTCTCAGCCCTCTCAGCCTTCCTCAGCCCTCTGAGGAACTTAGCCCTCCTGGAAGGGGCTAGTGGACTCTTCCTTCTTTGCAAACAGCTTTATTAAAACCATATGTGTAACATAACATCACGAGGCACACCTTTCTCTCCTTGCTAGAGTTCCTGATCAACTTAACACAAGGTTAAACGAGAGTAATTACTCTTTTCTCCATAGCAGGAAAATTGCATGTAAACCTGCACTTCACTTTATCTACAAGTTGGTACTATTAGGAATTCTTGTCTATAGCTAGGCAACAAGAAACCTGCTCTCTTGTATTGAATACTGTTGCAATGTGTAGTAAGGAAAGATATAAAGGCGAACTCAGCAGTTCTTTTGTACGAAGGGTGAACTGGTAGGCTCTGGATAGGGCGACAAGCCAGGCTGAATTTAGATATCAGAGCATGAACACACGTCACAAATCTCCCACTGAGAACAAAGAAAATACTGACACTGTGCAATAAACTCTGAAATACTGTCAATCTCCACTAGGAAAACTAGTCTTAAAAAGAAACACAAGTGTATCATCCACGGTATAATCCTGATAAGTGTAAAGTTTCTGTTGCGATATGCATTCAGGTGTTATGAACAAAGGGACAAGATATCAGCCTATTGCGTAAAAACTGACGGAAGTGACTCCCTATCAATGAGTGAGGACATAACTACATATCTGTAGCAGCCTACTCAAGACATCAATACTGGGTCATACTGCCCCTACCACAAACTAGGGAAAATTGGGTCAGTTACAATTCCCAGTTAAGTCCAGTGATACCCACACCTAATTACGTTAGCTGCAGCTAATAGGTAGGATTGAGATTTGACTGGAATTACCAATAGATCCTGTGATACGTGGGTGATTCACCCAAACCCAAGTATCACTACGCATTTTAGATGATAGTGAAATGCTGAGATATACGCTCCTTTGGGGCAAATTATATGAATAACAAAACTGTTAATCAACAGCCACTGTGTAATCTGAAATGGCACCCCAAAGGGATTTCCAAGGAGAGGCTGCTGGACATCGTGCTGCTAACAGAAAAGTAACATTTGTCTTATGTTTGTTTCATGCAGGTAAATGTACTTATCTAACCAGTTCTCCACGGTACTTCAGATACACTGACATCACTTGAGTGTACCTTGGACACAGTTAAAAGTTTAAATCAATAGAAAGGATGATAATGACAAATACAGTAAGGTCTAATATAATGTAGCCCTTATGTTCCTGAATTTATTTTAGCACACCAACCACTTCACACCGAGGTAGAGTAACCTGGAAAAAAAGAAACACTTTCACCATCACTCACTCCATCACTGTCTTGCCAGAGATGTGCCGACAATACAGCTCAGATGCTCTTCCAAACTGCAAATATCTCCACCCCTTTCTCAGAGTGCAGGCACTGTACTTCCCACATCCAAGACTCAAGTCCAGCTAAGTAGTTTCCATTAATCCTTTCATAAATGTTACCTTGCTCACACTCCAACACTAGTCTAGTCATGAAAATCACTTGCCTCCACTCACTCCTATCCTAAGACAACCCCTACCCTGCTTTCTCTTCACTACAGATTTATATACAAAGACTCCAAGTCATCTTATTTTGCTCCAACCTTTCTAAATATCCAAACCACCTGAAAAGTCCCTTCTCAGACCTCGGGATAATACTTTTAGTAACCCTGCACCCCCTTCAAATCCCCAAACCCATGAATTCGTAAAATATCACACACACATTGCCTCAGACTCTCCCCTGCCTCTACCCCTCCCCTTGCTACATTAAAAACCCATTCTTCCCCCCATTAAGGGTTGGTCCCCATTTACTTGTACATTCCCCTTTTTGCTTCAAGTGCACCACCCATCTTTTTCCCTTCATCTTCATAGCCTTCCACACAAGTCTACTCCCAATTTGACAACCCTCCTCTTCTCTCCTTCCAATCTAAATCTAATTTCTTATTGCACATAGTTTTAACTGTCCAAAAAGCACATGAAATCCCTTTCAGACCTTGGATAATACTTAATATAGCCTGCACCTCCTTCTATCCCAAAAGCATGTAATTTGTGAAGTGTGCAAAATTAATTGCTGAGAATTTTCCCTGCTCTGTTTCTTCTTTTTTTAACCCTTCCACCCTTGAGGGGTCGGTTTATTAAAAAAACATTCCCTTTATTAAGTGCCCGCTTAATTACATTCCATTTCCAGATCATCCCCTGACAAGTTCTCCCCAAATTAAGGGACAACATTCACTCCCCATACTTCCTCCTTCCATCTGCATATCCAACTTTTCTTATGTAAAAATAGGTTTGGTACCGTGCCTCAGCCACATGGTTTTATGCACCCCTCATCTAACACCTAGCATAATACTCTGCAAAAGCTGATTGGGGGTGAGTGTGGAAAATTTTGAATGATGATGCAAAAGGATTCTTTGGGGATTTCTTTCTTTTGGGTAAACCATGCTCGTTGGAACGGCACCATTTTGAAAAACCCAAATCTACCACATTTGAAGGCTTGCTGTAATACATTGCCATCACCCAATCTCACCTACTTCTTATCCCAACCACAACTTTAAGCCTCCCTAATCCACTCAACTAACCACACTATCACATCACTCACATAATACCGTTGTTTCCGTAACCAAATTTCCTTGTCTTTCTACCAGCCCCATCATCTATGACACCTACAGCAATTTCTATTGGGGAGAATCCCAAGATATTAAACCATAAACAAGACATAGAATGGTATGAGACATGTCCACAAACTGACCATCAGTGTAAAGGGGAAAGGAGAGTGATGCTAGGCCTCCCTAAAACAGTGGAGATGTTTACTGTGCAAAGAGAAATTTTCCACATGGTAATCAGCCTGATTCAAATTTTTCCTCAACTTTACAATGCAGAGAATTTTCCACATGGGAACCAACCCAAAATAATTTTTTCCAACTTTAGCTGTGTTAAACACAGGCTGGAGAAACTTTCTAATAATTTTGGGAAATAAATTTGAGTAGCATTCTAATAAATATGAACTGCTTAAAGCCAAGTTATGAGAGACCTATCTGTATTTCCATGGAAGACCTAATGTGAGTAATTCTAATATGTACAAGGGAAAGACAGTCTTACATTCATGGCTGTAGAAAAGGGATATAAAAAGCTGGACCAAGGAACTATGTGGAAAGTTCACATATGTTTAGAAAGAAAGTTTAGACCGACATCTTAAGTTTGTCCTGGACCATCTGCGACTTGATATTGGTTCATGATGGATTGAAATAATGTCTAAAATTTCAACTTCAAATTGTGTGATAGTTGTGAACATTCCACATCTCTCCATTATATTCCCTTTCCACCAACCCAATAAATAACTTTGGGAAGCTGTCACATTTTCCAGTAAAACCAGCAGTAAACCTTAGCTAAATTATTGAAATTTGTGGCAAAACACACAAGTAACTCAAGCAAACTTTTTAAAACTATAGAGGGACATAATAGGAATTAGTAAAGCTATAGAGACATATACCAACCTGGATAACTTGGTGTCTATCACGAGTCACAGTCACCCTCATCACACACTTCTTGAACTGTGGGTCAGTGGAGCGTAGAACCTCATAGTTGAGGTGTTCTTCATAACCCATGGCATTCAGGCCTTTCACAACAAACTCAAAAAGTGTGTTCAAGTTCTCTGGGCTCGGAGAAGAAACAAAGATGTTGGAGTAACCAAAGGCAATTGCACCAGCTGGAAAAATATAGAGAATTTTACAGTTTCTTGAAAATAATTTTACACAATATGTAAATATGAGCAACCGCCCAGGGAGGTACTACCGTCCTGCCAAGTGAGTGTACAACGAAAGCCTGTAATTGTTTTACATGATGGTAGGATTGCTGGTGTCTTTTGTCTGTCTCATAAACATGCAAGATTTCAGGTACGTCTTTCTACTTCTACTTGCATTTAGGTCACACTACACATATATGTACAAGCATATATATACACACACACCCCTCTGGGTTTTCTGCTATTTTCTTTCTAGTTCTTGTTCTTGTTTATTTCCTCTTACCTCCATGGGGAAGTGGAACAGAATTCTTCCTCCGTAAGCCATGCGTGTTGTAAGAGGCGACTAAAATGCCGGGAGCAAGGGGCTAGTAACCCCTTCTCCTGTATATATTACTAAATTTAAAAAGAGAAACTTTAGTTTTTTCTTTTGGGCCACCCCACCTCAGTGGGATACGGCTGGTACATTGAAAAGAAAGATGTAGATATGAACAAAACTATGGGTCTATCAGTGTAGTAAACCCTTGATATAACAGACTTAAAATTATGCATAAAATCCACTGGGTAAAATATATTTTTAACTTATTTATTTTCAATGTTCATTGAAGTACAGTGGACCCCCAAGTTTTGTGATTAATCTGTTCCAGAGAGTCTGATGAATGGCGAAATTCACGACTGGTGAAACCATTTTCCCCATAAGAAAAAATGGAAATCCAATTAATCCGTTTCAGACACCCAAAAGTATTAACAAAAAATATTTTTTTAAAGATTAAATATTGATTTACGTACAGAAAACACATAGGTAGTAGGTTGGTAGACAGCAACCGCCCAGGGAGGTACTACTGTCCTGCCAAGTAAGTGTAAAACGAAAGCCTGTAATTATTTTACATGATGGCAAGATTGCTGGTGTCCATTTTTCTGTCTCATAAACATGCAAGGTTTCAGGTATGTCTTGCTACTTTTACTTACACTTAGGTCACACTACACATACATGTACAAGCATATATATACACACCCCTCTGGGTTTTCATCTATTTTCTTACTAGTTCTTGTTCTTGTTTATTTCCTCTTACCTCCATGTGGAAGTGGAACAGAATTCTTCCTCCGTAAGCCATGCGTGTTGTAAGAGGCGACTAAAATGCCAGGAGCAAGGGGCTAGTAACCCCTTCTCCTGTATATATTACTAAATGTGAAAGGAGAAACTTTCGTTTTTCCTTTTGGGCCACCTTGCCTGGGTGGGATACGGCCGGTGTGTTGAAAGAAAGATACAGAAAACAATGACAAATGAATATAAAGCACTAATAAAATGGATAAATGAACATTTAACGTCATACTTACCTTTATTGAAGACTTTTGTTGGTGTATGGCACAGGTAGGAGGCGAGAGCAGGCAAGTTTATTATGCTTCAATGTGACACTAATATCATCTCTAAGGCTTATTTATCCATCACAATTCATCTAATATGATATAATAAATAATATTAATAACAAAGAAACAAAATATATACTCTAGAATGAATAAAATATGTCATAACATATGTGAGGAGTAAGTGCTGGTGGTGTTGTTGGGTTTATAAAGGCCACTAAGAGAAGCCGTATATATTAGTGGTGGTGGAGGGAACAGCTGAAGCTACCAACACTATTCACATTGAAACAATGTACATAATTTATAAATAAGAAATATTTACACTTTAATTTATAAATAAGAAATATTTACACTTTAATTTATAAATAAGAAATATTTACACTTACCTTGGAGGAGATGTGAGTGTGAGATTATAAAAGATATAATTCAAAGGCGGGAGAGATGTTGTTGAAGTAGATAAGCCATGTAAAAAGGGTGAAAGAAATTAAAAAAAAAAAAGGATAGCAAAGAGGGCATATAAATCCAGAGTGGTGGGAGGGAGGAAGACATACTTGTCATCCTATGAAGGGATGGAGGGAAGAAGAGGATAAAAGAGTTTTTAGTGGTAGAAGCTTGAGCGTTCAGCATGTGTGTGACTATGATAGTTCAGAGTGAGAAGAGACAAGTGGTTTTTTAGGGTCTGAGGTACTGCTGGATGAGCAAAATTTAGGAGAACTTGAGTGCTGGAAGTATAAAGTACAGCACCTCCACTACAAAAGAGGGGCAGAGATGTTGCAATTTGGAAAGATATTTTATCTGTGGTCTCTGTGCACTTCTGGCAAGATAGATAATGAATGATGATTTATTATTTTCTTTAACATATCAGCCATTTCCCACCAAGGCAGGGTGACCTGAAAAAGAAGGAACACTTTCATCATCAGTCATTCTATCACTCTTGCCAGAGGCACATCTACATTACAGTTCAAAAACTGCAACACATTACCATCCCTCCTTCAGATTGCAGACACTGTACTTCCCACCTCCAGGACTCAAGTCCAGCTAGTCAGTTTTCCCGAATTCCTTCATAAATGTTACCTTCATCACACTCCAACAGCACGTCAAGTCATAAAAACCATTTGCCTCCACTTGCTCCTAACACGTTCATGCACATTTGCTGGAAGTCCAAGCCCTTCACACACAAAACTTTCTTTACCTCCAACCTATCCTAGGTCAACCCCTAACCCGCCTTCCTTCCATTACAGATTTATACTCCCTCCGAGTCATTCTATTTTGTTCCATTCTTTCTAAATGTCCGAACCACCTCAACACCCCCTCCTCAGCCCTCTGGATACTTTTAGTAACCCCGCGCCTCCTCCTAATTTCCAAACTACAAATTCTCTGCATAATGTTCACACCAAACATTGCCCTCAGACATGACATCTCCACTGCCTCCAGCCTTCTCCTTGTTTCAACATTCATCACCCATGCTTCACACTCATTTAAGAGTATTGGTACCATTATAATCTCATACATTTCCCTCTTTGTTTCCGAGGATAAAGTTCTTTTGTCTTCAGATACTCCTTAATGCACCACTGACCTTTTTCCCCTCATCAACTCTATGGTTCACATCGTCTTTCATAGACCCATCTGCTGACACGTCCACTCCCAAATATCTGAACACATTGACTTCCTCCATATTCCCTCCCTCTAATCTGATATTCAATCTTTCATTATCTAAATTTTTTGCTATCCTCATCACCTTGCTCTTTCCAATGTTCACTTTTAATTTCCTTCTTTTACATCCCCTTCCAAATTAGTTCACCAACCTGTGCAACTTCTCTTCAGAAACTCCCAGAAGCACAGTGTCATCAGAAAAAAGCAAATGTGACAAATCCCACTTTGTGTTAGATTCTTTATCTCTTAATCCCACACCTCTTGCCAACATCTGAGCATTCACTTCTCTTACAACCCCGTCTATAAATATATTGAACAACCATGGTGACATCATGCATCCCTGTCTTAGGCCTACTTTTACTGGGAAATAATCTCCCTCTCTCCTACATACTCTAACCTGCCTCACTATCCACATAAAAATTCTTAACTGCTTACAATTACACTACTTCGGTAAGAAACAGCCCATGTGCTTAAAAAACTAAATAAAAACAAAATAAACAAACAAAAGTATATACTGTATAATAAAGAAACAAACCAATTGATATTCCAAGTGCTGCTGACTTTCCTCGACCTCTGGCAGCAGTCAGTGTAACAGTAGTACGCAGAGTCTTTTCTGTGATAGCCACGATAAACTGCAGTACTGACTTCGCCTGGGAAAAAGAGTTTAAATCATCATTTTCAACCCAATACAGACCCATATATTACAGCAATACAGTAGTATAGTACAATGAAAACATTAACTCCTGAAGTTACAATACTATCCAGACTCACACTACCACTACCAGACCCACACTACCACTACCAAACCCACATTACCACTAACAGACCCACACTACCACTATCAGACCCACACTACCACTATCAGACACACACACTACCACTACCAGACTCACACTACCAGACCCACACTACCACTACTACACACATACACACACACACACACACACACACACTACCACTACCAGACACACACTTCCACTACCAGACCCACAATACCACTACCAGACACACACTTCCACTACCAGACCCACAATACCACTACCAGACATGCACTACCACTACCAGACCCATATTACCACTACCAAACACACTCACTACCACTACCAGACACACACTACCGCCACCAGATACACTACCACTACCAGACTCACACTACAGAGGAAATGGGTATCCTATGAAGAGAGGTTAGGGGAACTCAACCCGATGACACTGGAGGACAGGAGGGAGAGGAAGGTCATAACAATGTATAAAGTACTGAGAGGAATTGATGAGGTGAATAGGGCCAGAATGTTTCAGAGATGAGACACAGGAACAGTAGGACAACTGGAAGTAAAAACTCAGATGAGTCATAGAAATGTTTGTTATTGTTGAGGGAATGATGAACAATGACAAATACAAGGCAATCCTGGCAACTCATTTGCTTCCCATTGTGGACAGAGACTTTCCTGATGAAGAAGGCATATTCCAGCAGGATCTTGCTCCATGCAACATTTCCAGAAAAATGCTGATATTCTTCAAAGAGAGTGGGCTAAGCATTCTAAATTGACCTGGAAACTCTCCTGACCTCAACCCAATTGAGAATCTATGGGCAATAACCAAACACAGGATCACAAAATAGGACTGCTCAACTGTGGAGAAGCTAACTGATGCTGTTATTAGGACCTGGTACCATCAGGAAGAACTTGCCAGAATGTGTTCAACATTAGTCGATTTTATGCCAAAGCATGTAGCAATGCTTATAAAACCAAAGGGTAGTCATATCACTTATTAAATCAATTATCTGTCATATCACTGCCATGTATTTTTCAAATGAACATTAATTTTCCAAATAAATGTCATTTTCATCACTCTCTTAATCAACATGTACAATACTGTAATAGAGGCAGGATCCATACATAGCTTAATATTTATTATAAAGGTATGACAAGGCTCTTGGAAACAGGAGAGAGTGGGTCTCGTAGCAATCAGTGAAGAGTTGGTACACTCACAATCACCCCCCCCCCACACACACACATACTCAGTGAGTACTTTGGTCAGGATGAATGTGATACTGTGGCATTAGAACAATATACAAATATTTACACAAATTCTGGTAGTTAAAGATGTAACGCAGAAATACACATGCCTGATCTAAAGTTTTACAGAGATCCACCAACAATCCTACTGGAGGATTATCCTTAAGTGACTCTTTAAGATCCTTGAGCTCACTATCTTGAGGAGAGAGTGGGGTACTGGCTGAAATTGGAGGCACTGGCTGGAGGTCTCGTAAGTGAGATGAGACTGGCAGGATGCGGAGTTGATCATCCATCACCACACAGGTTGTACACGAGGCCAAGGATAATATGAACCTGAAACACAACATTTGCCATTTATCAGTAAAGTACATACTATTATCTGTTCCTAACTAGAAAACATTGCAAATAACAAGCAAGGAGCAAGCTCTGTGAGGAAGAATATCACCAGAAGTACATACTAATTATATAACTTCAGAGAAATATGCAAAACTAGTTAACCTAAAAAATAAATTCAGGAATCTGAACAGGACATTATATACAACATTTGTTAAACCTTCCTCAGAGTGTGCATACAACCCACACCTGATTAATGAAGAAACCACAGAAGATCAAATTATTTACTTGAGGTACCAGAGCTATGATAAATGGAGTACAAGGAGAATGAAGAAATTCAACCAACAACATTCAAAGAAAAAAGGACAGGAACTTATAACACAAAACACTCAGAGAATAAAGTACATATACTGCATGGGAACAGTTTAAGACACAACTAGAGGGAGTCATGGGACGTATATAGCTGCTACAGATGCAGGGAAATACTAAGAAGCAATCTTGCAATATCAGAATAGGTGATACAGTAAGTAAACACACCAGATGAAGAGGTAGTGAGAACAAACAAAATGCATATCAATGGCATTTTTTATTAACAAATTGGTAGTTCCCACCAGGGCAGGGTGATCCGAAAAAAAAAAAAAACTTTCATCATTCACTTCATCACTGTCTTGCCAGAGGCATACCTACACTACAGTTAAAAAACTGCAACATATCAACACCCCTCCTTCCGAGTGGAGGCACTGTACTTCCCACATCCATGACTCAAGTCTGGCTAACTAGTTTTCCTGAATCCCTTCATAAATATTACCTTGCTCACACTCCAACAGCACGTCAAGTCATAAAAACCATTCATCTGCACTTGCTCTTGTCTAATATGCTCAGGAACACTTGCTGGAAGTCCAAGCCCCTCACATTTACCCTCTCCCTCCAACCTTTCCTAGGACAACCTTGCCTTCCTTCCACAACAGATTTATATGCCCTCTTTTTAAATTTAGTAATTTATACAGGAGAAGGGGTTACTAGCCCCTTGCTGCTCCTGGCATTTTAGCTGCCTCTTACAACACGCATGGCTTACGGAGGAAGAATTCTGTTCCACTTCCCCATGGAGATAACAGGAAATAAACAAGAACGAGAACTAGTAAGAAAATAGAAGAAAACTCATGTATGTGTAGTGTGACCCAAATGTAATTAGAGGTAGCAAGATATACCTGAAATCTTTCATGTTTATGAGACAGAAAAAAGACACCAGCAATCCTATCATCATGTAAAACAATTACAGGTTTCTGTTTTACACTCACTTGGCAGAACGATAGTACCTCCCTGGGTGGATGCTGTCTAGCAACATAATACCTCCCAGAAATTAAGATACGTACTATCATCATCATTATTATTATTATTATTATATTATTATTATTATTATTAAATGGATTTGTCAGTTAAAAATAGGAGAGGAGAGTTATTAAATGGAGAGTTAGAGGTATTGGGAAGATGGAGGGAATATTTTGAGGAATTGTTAAATGTTGATGAAGATAGGGAAGCTGTGATTTCGTGTACGTATAGGACAAGGAGGAATAACATCTTGTAGGAGTGAGGAAGAGCCAGTTGTGAGTGTGGGGGAAGTTCGTGAGGCAGTAGGTAAAATGAAAGGGGGTAAGGCAGCCGGGATTGATGGGATAAAGATAGAAATGTTAAAAGCAGGTGGGGATATAGTTTTGGAGTGGTTGGTGCAATTATTTAATAAATGTATGGAAGAGGGTAAGGTACCTAGGGATTGACAGAGAGCATGCATAGTTCCTTTGTATAAAGGGAAAGGGGATAAAAGAGAGTGCAAAAATTATAGGGGGATAAGTCTGTTGAGTATACCTGGTAAAGTGTATGGTAGAGTTATAATTGAAAGAATTAAGAGTAAGACGGAGAATAGGATAGCAGATGAACAAGGAGGCTTTAGGAAAGGTAGGGGGTGTGTGGACCAGGTGTTTACAGTGAAACATATAAGTGAACAGTATTTAGATAAGGCTAAAGAGGTCTTTGTGGCATTTATGGATTTGGAAAAGGCATATGACAGGGTGGATAGGGGGGCAATGTGGCAGATGTTGCAAGTGTATGGTGTAGGAGGTAGGTTACTGAAAGCAGTGAAGAGTTTTCACGAGGATAGTGAGGCTCAAGTTAGAGTATGTAGGAAAGAGGGAAATTTTTTCCAAGTAAAAGTAGGCCTTAGACAAGGATGTGTGATGTCACCGTGGTTGTTTAATATATTTATAGATGGGGTTGTAAGAGAAGTAAATGCGAGGGTCTTGGCAAGAGGCGTGGAGTTAAAAGATAAAGAATCACACACAAAGTGGGAGTTGTCACAGCTGCTCTTTGCTGATGACACTGTGCTCTTGGGAGATTCTGAAGAGAAGTTGCAGAGATTGGTGGATGAATTTGGTAGGGTGTGCAAAAGAAGAAAATTAAAGGTGAATACAGGAAAGAGTAAGGTTATGAGGATAACAAAAAGATTAGGTGATGAAAGATTGGATATCAGATTGGAGGGAGAGAGTATGGAGGAGGTGAACGTATTCAGATATTTGGGAGTGGACGTGTCAGCGGATGGGTCTATGAAAGATGAGGTGAATCATAGAATTGATGAGGGAAAAAGAGTGAGTGGTGCACTTAGGAGTCTGTGGAGACAAAGAACTTTGTCCTTGGAGGCAAAGAGGGGAATGTATGAGAGTATAGTTTTACCAACGCTCTTATATGGGTGTGAAGCATGGGTGATGAATGTTGCAGCGAGGAGAAGGCTGGAGGCAGTGGAGATGTCATGTCTGAGGGCAATGTGTGGTGTGAATATAATGCAGAGAATTCGTAGTTTGGAAGTTAGGAGGAGGTGCGGGATTACCAAAACTGTTGTCCAGAGGGCTGAGGAAGGGTTGTTGAGGTGGTTCGGACATGTAGAGAGAATGGAGCGAAACAGAATGACTTCAAGAGTGTATCAGTCTGTAGTGGAAGGAAGGCAGGGTAGGGGTTGGCCTAGGAAAGGTTGGAGGGAGGGGGTAAAGGAGGTTTTGTGTGCGAGGGGCTTGGACTTCCAGCAGGCATGCGTGAGCGTGTTTGATAGGAGTGAATGGAGACAAATGGTTTTTAATACTTGACGTGCTGTTGGAGTGTGAGCAAAGTAACATTTATGAAGGGATTCAGGGAAACCGGCAGGCCGGACTTGAGTCCTGGAGATGGGAAGTACAGTGCCTGCACTCTGAAGGAGGGGTGTTAATGTTGCAGTTTAAAAACTGTAGTGTAAAGCACCCTTCTGGCAAGACAGTGATGGAGTGAATGATGGTGAAAGTTTTTCTTTTTCGGGCCACCCTGCCTTGGTGGGAATCGGCCAGTGTGATAATAAAAAATAATAATATTATTATTATTATTATTATACTATACCTTTCATTGAACCTGGGTACCACATATCGGTGAGCCTCGGTGCGGTAGCGAGCATGTACATCCATGCTAAGTGCATACAGCTGCCGCAGTGAGGTAACAGTCTGCAGAAGTATCACAATGAGGCCGCCACCTTCCACAGTCTCTATGGTGCGACACAATATGTTTGGAGTCAAGGCTTCAAAGTCCTATAAAAGAACATTTTTAAATCTTAGCAAGAAAATAGAGAAAAAAAAATTTTAAGTACAGTAACAGCCCACCAAGGCAAGGTGACCCAAAGAAGAAATCACATTCAATTTTTTTGTATACTTAACCCTTTGACTGTCACAACCCAAATCCTGAGATGTCTCCTGGTGTCGCAAAATATTTAAAAAAAAAAAATTTTTTTTTCTTATGAAATGATAGAGAATCTTTTCCCGATGGTAATGACACCAAAAGTGCGAAATTTGATGGAAAACTTACGGAATTACACTCTCGCAAAGTTAGCAACCTCGGCAACATTTACAAATCAGCAATTTCGCCCACTATGAGCCCTATTTTTGGCTAATTCCATTGTTCCAGTCAACCAAACTCATAACTATTTCTTCTATTGAATGAGTACAAGAAACTGCCCATTTACCGATTTCAACTACCCAATAAAGTGGTCAGAAATTTGCAATTTGGCCAATTTCATGCAAATTAAAAAATCTGCCAATTTCAAAATAGGGTGCAGAATGAACAATGCAGACATTCTTGGCTCTAAAATAATATTTTATTTGTTCATCAGCCACGTCTCCAGGCCCCTCTGATATTACTCTTGCTTTCTATTTTGAATTTTTATTCAAACAATAAATACATTCACTGTTATGCAGACTACTGCAATATTGTAATACAGTGGACCCCCGCCTAACGATATTAATCCGTTCCTGAGAGCTCATTGTTATGCGAAATTATCGTTATGCGAATGAATTTTCCCCATAAGAAATAATGGAAATCAAATTAATCCGTGCAAGACACCCAAAAATATGAAAAAAAAAAATTAACCACATGAAATATACATTTTCCTATACACAAAGAGAAGGATACATGCACAATAGTAGAGTAGTACATGCACAATATATATTGTGCAAGTACTACTCTACTAAATGAAGAATAAATGACACTTACCTTTATTGAAGATGCAGCAATGACTGATGAGACACTGTGTCCTGGGAGTGCCTTTTCCTCCTGAGTACTGTAGGTCCTGTTTGGCATTTTCTTCCAGAACAGGCCTTATCACACTGTGTATGCCACTACGATTCTTAAATCTCTCAAACCAACCTTTGCTGGCTTTAAATTCACCAATATGAGCACTAGTTCCAGGCATTTTTCCCTGTTCACCTGGGTGTTAGTCGACTGGTGTGGGTTGCATCCTGGGAGACAAGATTAAGGACCCCAATGGAAATAAGTTAGACAGTCTTCGATGACACTGACTTTTTTGGGTTATCCTGGGTGGCTAACCCTCTGGCATTAATTGTTTCTTGGTATTCTCAATAAGCCACACCAACAACAGTGCTACAGCAGCAGCAGCAGCAGCAGCAGCAGCTGACAGTGCTACAGCAGCAGCTGACAGTGCTACAGCAGCAGCAGACGGTGCTACAGCAACAGCAGACGGTGCTACAGCAGCAGCAGACGGTACTACAGCAGCAGCAGCAGCTGACGGTGGTACAGCAGCAGCAGCAGCTGATGGTGCTACAGCAGCAGCAGCAGCTGACAGTGATACAGCAGCAGCAACAGCAGCTGACAGTGCTACAGCAGCAGCTGACAGTGCTACAGCAGCAGCAGACGGTGCTACAGCAGCAGCAGACGATACTAAAGTAGCAGCAGCAGCTGACGGTGCTACAGCAGCAGCAGCAGCTGACGGTGCTACAGCAGCAGCAGCTGACAGTGCTACAGCAGCAGCAGCAGCAGCTGACAGTGCTACAGCAGCTGACAGTGCTACAGCAGCAGCTGACAGTGCTACAGCAGCAGCAGACGGTGCTACAGCAACAGCAGACGGTGCTACAGCAGCAGCAGACGGTACTACAGCAGCAGCAGCAGCTGATGGTGGTACAGCAGCAGCAGCAGCAGCTGACAGTGCTACAGCAGCAGCAGCAGCTGACAGTGCTACAGCAGCAGCAGCAGCTGACAGTGCTACAGCAGCAGCAGCAGCAGCAGTTGACCATGGGACCACAGTATTTTGATAATATTTCTCACCCTTTTTACCACAGGGTTGGCACTAGAAGCTTTCTTGGGGCCCATGGTCACTTATTTTGTAGATAAAATCACCAAAAACGCTGTAATAATACGAAATGTTCCAATTGTATGCTTGGATGTTACCGCGGAGGCTGGCTTGTAAACAATGCCACCGGCGGAACATGTGAGGCTGGCTCAGGCCTCACATAGACGCGTCTCGGACGAATAGCGTTGAGTGAGTTTTTTAGCGCTATGTGAGGCAAAATTTTAGTGATAAAATGTATCGCTATGCGGATTTAACGTTATGTGATGCCAACGGTATGCGGGGGTCCACTGTAATTGTATAAATAATGTCAACCCATTCATAACTGCATATTAAAATGGCTAGTTGGACATTTATTGGACAATGATATCTTTTGTTTACTCTTGAACATAACAAAAGTCAAACATTTCCCCTACTTTGAGCTCCATTTCAAGGTCCTTTTCATAGTAAAACCAATTAAAATCACCTCTATTTCTATAATACATTGTTTTCCATTCTATCAAAATGTGACTACGAAAACAAGAATATAACCATAAAAACTATACGAAAATACACCTCAAAGTCGGCGTTTTAATCCAAAATCATGGTCAGAGTTTTTTTTTTCTCATTATGCACTGCGTGCTGCAGGATTTTTTATACAGAGTCACACTGACCACATAGACCCTTTCTCTCACATGTGGGCCTACCAGCTTTCTCCTGCTTGATTTGAAGCTGCTAGAATTTTTGAGTATATACACGTCACACACATTTTCTCGTAAGACATATACAGTGGACCCCCGGTTCATGTCATTAATCCGTTCCTGAGAGCTCATCGTAAAGCAAAATTATCGGAAAGCAAATCAATTTTCCCCATAAGAAATAATGGAAATCAAATTAATCCGTGTAAGACTCCCAAAAGTATGAAAAAAAACTTTTACCACATGAAATATTAAGTTTAGTTGCAGGCATTTTTCTAATTAATTCCTCATGCAACTGCCTAGCCTTTTCACAAATGATCGCTTGAGAGATGCTATCTCCAGCTATCTGTTTTTCATTTATCCACACCAGTAACTCTCTCTCAACATTTTCTAACACTTGCGATCGGCTGTTTTGTAATCACAGTTGCACCTTTTGCAAGAACAGCTTCCTTCCGTTTTCCTGCTCACTATAGTAGAGATGGTTGATTGGGATTTACTATACAACTTGGCCAGGTCCGACACATGCACTCCACTTTCATACTTTGCAATCATCTCTTTCTTCATTTCAATAGTCATTAGCACCCTTGGTCTCGAAGGGTTGGCACTAGAAGCTTTCCTGGGGCCCATGGTGACTTATTTTGCAGAAACAAGCACCAGAAACAGTGATAATATGGATAATATGGAATGTACCGAATGTATCCTTAGATGCACGCACACTGGCTGGCTTATAAACACTGGCACACACGGGGCAGTTCAGGCCACATGTTGACACGTCTCGTACGAATCGTATCGTGTACCGGGTTTTGTTACGGAAACCGGGGCAATTTTTTTGCTATATAACACTTCGGATACTGGATTTATCGGCTACCAGTGGCTTCGCGAACTGGGGGTCCACTGTATATACGACCGAAACAGTCAGAGGGTTAATAAAGTACAAGAAAGAGACAACCACCCACTTGTCCCAGGTATTTCAGTTACTTTCGTTGAGAGACATAGATTACCAGGAAAAACACACAAATTCTGTCTACCAAACTTATCCTTATATTCTTTCCGAAATTTCAACTACAGTGGAACCTTGGTTTTCGTCTTTAACCTGTAAACGGTCCAAACGTATATACAGTGGACCCCCGGTTAACAATATTTTTCATTCCAGAAGTATGTTCAGGTGCCAGTACTGACTGAATTTGTTCCCATAAGGAATATTGTGAAGTAGATTAGTCCATTTCAGACCCCCAAACATACACGTACAAAAGCACTTACATAAATACACTTACATAATTGGTCGCATTGGGAGGTGATCGTTAAGCAGGGGTCCACTGTATGTAAAAAAAGTAGATCTTCTTTATGTATTTTTACATTTGAAAATGTGTAAAAAAAACTTTGATCTACTTTTTTTTTTGTTATATTTGAAAATATGTAAAAAACGTAGATCTACTTTTGTAGCACTACACATGTGAACATAAATCTGCTTGGACTGTTTACGGGTTAATTCGTTCCAGAGAGTCTGACGAAAACCGAATCTGACAAAAACTGAAGCAATATTTCCCATAAGAAATAATATAAATCCAATTAATCCGTTCCAGAAACCCAAAAATATTAACAAAAAATACATTTTATAGAGGATAACTATAGTTTTACATACAGAAAACAATGACAAATAAATATAAAGCACTAATGAAATGGATAAATGAACATTTAACATCACTTTTACCTTCACTCAAGACTCTTGTTGGCATATGGAAGACAGCGAGGAGGGGAGAGGGAGGAGAGGATATCTCTACCACCATCACTACCACTCTCTACCACCATCACTACCACTCTCTACCACCATCACTACCACTCTCTACCACCATCACTACCACCCTCTACCACCATCACTACCACCCTCTACCACCATCACTACCACTCTCTACCACTGTCACTACCACTCTCTACCACCATCACTACCACCCTCTACCACCATCACTACCACCCTCTACCACCATCACTACCACCCCCTACCACCATAACTACCACCCTCTACCACCATCACAACACAACCACCCTCTACTACCATCACTACCACTACCACCCTCTACCACCATCACTACCACCCTTGACCACCATCACTACCATCCTCTACCACCATCTTTACCACCCTCTACCACCATCACTACCACCCTCTACCACCATCACAACCACAACCACCCTCTACCACCATCACTACCACTACCACTCACTACCACCATCACTACCACCCTCTACCACCATCACTACCATCCTCTACCACCATCAT